CCAGATGATTGTCGGGATTATCCTCTCGATAATCGTTACCGTTACGTGTATTAACTATCGTTCGACACTCCCGATTGCTCAAATAATTATTGTGATTGTTACCCTCTCGATGATCGTCGTATACGTTATATTAAAGAACGATCGTAATTCGATATAAATGCATGTAGTTTTTACAGATCACGGAACTAACGGCGTTTGGATAATCAGCATGAGATGACCAACTTTTATGTCATATGAGAGATAACTATACTAATTTTCTCCCAGGTTGAGGATATTAAAGGTTAATTTTATCATTAGGGTTAGGATTAGAGCTGGAGTAAAGGTTATATATAAAATTGTTTTCCTGACATTTTTATTAATATTTTGCCAGGTATTCCTACCAAAAATGAAAGCACCGAGTCGATTCTTTCATCGATTTTATCAACTCACAAATTTCAACTTTTTGTTTCACGTTTTTGACATTTGGACAATTTTCCTCTGTTTTTTCCTCCATTCAAATATCTGAAAAGTAACAGCAACAGTATTATATTGTCATTCATCGACGATTCTTCTAATTTGATGCCATAACTCCAAACCAACTTTACATGATACGCATTAAAAGTACAGGGACAAAGGGAAGTTTTAATGAATGCCTCCTTGATATTTGATGTTCTTGACATGAAGCTTTAGTCTAAGAGATTTGATTGTGTGTCGAAGCTCTCTCGCCGGAATATTCAAAAATTTCGTCTAACTTTTTGGTATGTACGTCCATTAAGAATCATTAAAGAAAATAGCTTGTCAACGCGATACTTAATTAAAATCTTTAATAATTTGCAGACGAAGATGATGGAGAACATTGCCACTAGCTTTGAAGATTTCCCTTAATAATTTAAATGCAGTTCATCATACGTACTTTAAAAGTTGAATTGAGAAATATTCCAATTTTTGAAAACATTTAGTATTAAAAGTCTGATCAAAGAAACTGCCAATGCTCTGCGTTCAGTTTAGTCGGAAAATATTTATCTAGCCGTAACGTACAAATGACGCATAATTGAACGTCGGTTGTCGTACAATCAGTGGTCGACTAATTTTGCGTCGTAGATACTCCCATATTTCTTCTGAAAAACTTCCTACGTAAACGTTTACAATAATTTGATATTTTTTATGACAGTAGCATGTAAGAGGTGCTTCTCAAAGAATTGGCGCAATTTTCTTGACAAAATTGTCAATTGACTAACAGACACTTAAGTAAAGATCTTCTGCCTGGATTCTTGACGGTAATAATTGGAATATTGAACTAATTTCCATTTTTCTAAATTAGAAAATAATATGTACAGTAGTTAATATTTCTTTGTAGTTGCAGACAGAATATTTTATAAATTAAAAGATAGACTTAATTAATATGGACATAAATCCAGTAATTTTATTGGTTGGGACAAGCATTTCGACCAATCACATCGCTGGATTTACGAAAATACTGACTGTACAGTGCATGTGTTTGACATTCGTAAAATCAACCAATAATATTAGTAATAACGATCAAGAATTTCAAGTGGTCATACTTGTTTAATACATGTAGTTGTACTCTTATGCTTCAATTCAATTTTATACAAAGAAGTTTTCGATAATGTAAAATGTATGCGCTATGCTACTACAATACAGAACTCTCTTATAACGAATTCGGGATATAATGAACGAGTTCATTATATAAAATTTGAACCGTAAACAGAGTTGACTTTCAGATGTAAGAAATTTATATACAATGCGCGAAAGAGATTTAAAAAGGGGTATAAAGTTTAAAATGTTTTAAAAGAAGTTCCGTACTTCTTTTCCAGGCTTTCTTTCATGGCCATCCCAACGTTTCCGTTCTGTTAACATTTTCATTAAAATAGTCTCATTTCCATTATTGTTTCCATGGAAGTTACCAGCATTTATATTAACTTTGTTGTTTCTGTTTCAGCTACTAGCTGAGACTGAAAGTGCAAAGATAAAAAGCTCAAGGTAGTACGACCGTTAGTTTCAACTAACCACGAATCCAATTTGGATTCATTCGGATTAAATTATAATAATTAATACTTATCACAAACCTGATTCGAATTCATTCAATTTTGATTCGTGGTAAACTCTAGCTTTAACCATTTTTGTTGTAAATATAAGAAATCCTGACTTAAGGCTTGCGAAAGAATTGATACGAATACCAAAATTGCCTAATCATGTAAACTAAAGTAGTAATCGCCATTATTACTCAAATTATATTGACAATTTATTGTATAGCATACAGTAGTGGTGACTTGTTAAAAACCTGTACGTCAGTATAACTTGAAACCTTGCATAAAAATTCCACTATATAACCAAAAAATGGTTTTTAAGCTCAGAATTTAGATTTAATTATCTATTAGCGCTAGCAAATGGAACAGGGTAAGCTTTGACAGAATAAAGGATTATATATCAGCTAAATCGCAAAGAGACAATTAATAAGACGCATGAAAATTTATACAAAAATCTGGCGTACACAACTTGTTATTAAGATGTTTCCAATTTTTTTGCAACAGAGAAATATCCAAATTTAGAATCATTATTGTTAGTGGATGACGCATAGCGATAGAGTACATGTATTAAAAAAATTTATGAACTATTGATTAATTATGTTGGAGATAATGAGACAATGGTATATCCAAAAGAAATATATCATCATATCTTCAAAAAAGAGCATAGCAGCTATTAATTTGTGGTCATGGATACCACGAAATCTGTTTTCGAATTTTAGGTTGCGGAACTCACATCGCATATCTATCTGAATCAAAGAACAAAAACCTTGACAACCGATCAGATCCTGAGTTTAAAAATAATGATTACAAGCTGAAATCATAGTGAAATTAATTTTAAGTTAAAAAAAAATAACTGATAAGTTGGTCAACTCTTAAATCAATTCAATATCTAGGCTATTGTTGCCTTTTTATAGCATTTATAGAAATCGTGCTCCAATTCTTTGACTTACCAAGTAATTCACCTATTCCCCGCCCGTGCTCCAATGAATATATTTCAAATCTCAAATTTTCCTCAAGGGTCGAGAACTCAACACACACCTAACGAACAAGATAAATTTTGAAATTTCACAAGTAAGAATGTTAGGCAGTACTAGTAATATGGAATTCGAATAAGTGCCATCAACAATGAGTTGGAAATTTGATGTTCTCATATTTATACAATTGCAATACATGTATGTTGTGTTCTCAATAGGGTAGGTAACACATTTGTTTTTCAAGTGTTCTCGCTGGAGAATTTGTGTACAGTATACGTGTTTTTTGAGTGTCACACTCACAAATTAGCTGTGTTGTACATGTACAATGTAACTTCCCCAGCGTAAAGGGTTATGAAAATACATTTATATTAACCTGGCTGGATATAGATTTCTCTGTTCATGTACATGTACGTTCGTACTTTGATTTTGTGAAAAATATCACGTGATATGTTCGTATATAACTCTACCTTAAATTCCATAATTCCACCCAAACGCCGATTCACCAATATGATCAGATGACATGTAATTGTAGTTCACATGATGTTTAGTAAGAACAGTACATAATAGGCAATTTGATCAGCTCTTAATGTTCAACTCTACTTATTTGAAAAAATTATTTTCTTCTGACCAGTTAACAATGTATGGTAAAAATAACGAAAAAAAGAAAACTAACAACGACGAAGACGAAATTAATATTATGAATACTCATTTTAATCAGATTAATGAGGTTTTTAGTAAATTTCACTCGAGACAATATAATTTTTCGCCGCAATTATTGCATAACGATAATATCTATTTCAATAATCAAACAAGCATTAATAATAATTTTGATAATCGAAATAAAAATAATATTTACGAGGATGTTCACAAAATCATCCCAAACACTCGAGTAATTAGAAATACAAACATTCCTTGTAACTCTACATTCACATTTAATTTATTTGAAACATCAAATAATCCCATATACACATCCACTTCATTTACACCCACTGATACACTAAATCCGATAACGGCACCAACTGACAATACTACAAAGAAAAAAATTTATTTTAATTTCGTCAATGATACGTCGCTTCTTGATGGTCAATTCGGAAATTTATTATTGAATGTATTCCATGATGCAGTTCGTTGTGGCGAAAAAATATTCTATTCGAAATTTCTTAACGAATTCTTCGGAAAAACAGGATTCACAGCACAACAAGTCTACGAAAAAATGCAACCAGAAAAATATAGGCGTAAATTCGGTTGTCTGCTTGGTTGTTTGTATCAACACGGGATCGGAACAAAATTAGATACGCAAAAGGCGTTTGATCAATTTAAAAAGTCGGCAGAAGTCTATAATGATGCTCTTGCGCAAGCATTTCTTGGAAGATGTTATGAAGATGGCGAAGGATGCGTAAGAAATGCGAATAATGCATGCTATTGGTATAAAACGTCAGCAGATAATGGATGTGGTTTGGGAGAATGTGCGTATGGCATTTGTCTGTTTGAGGGAATGAGAGTGGAGAGAAATGAAGAAAAAGGATTTGAATATATTAAGAAGTCGGCAGAAAGAGGATACGCTGATGGTCAATGTAAATTGGCGATTTCTTTTGAAGAAGGAAGTGGGACAAAGGAAGATAAATATAAGGCATTTTATTGGTTTGGGAAAGCAGCTAACAATGGAAATACCTGCGGCCGATATAACTTGGTAAAGTTGAATTTATTTTGATTTGTCAGAAAAACAGTAGAAATTTAATTAACCTTAAAAATTTGCAGGGAAGGTGTTACGAGCATGGAATTGGCGTTAAAAAAGACCTCTTCAAAGCATTCGATTGTTACGAAATTGCCGCTCACGGGGAAAACCCAGAAGCTCAATGCATGGCAGGCTATTGTTACGATCTCGGCATCGGCACTTTAATAAACAAAACAAAAGCGCTTGAATGGTATGAACAATCCGCCATGAATGGTGAATTAATTGGCCAATACAACTTTGCAAACTTTTGTTTTAGTGGTACCGCCACCGGACGAGATCGCAACAAAGCATTCTACTGGTATTCTAAATCAGGTTACGCCGGCTACGACTACTCCCAGTATCGATTAGGATATGCGTATCAACTGGGTGCTGGTGCTAATAAAGATATGCATGAAGCTATTCGATGGTATCATAAAGCTTATGTACAAAATAACCCACCGGCTTTGAAAAAGATACCCGTGGTGTTTGGTGCTTCGGCCGACGATGATTATTGATTTTATTTTAATAGCAATTTAAGTAATTATTAACGAATTTAATGAAAGTGTAAAACATACTCGAATAAATTATTCACCTTTTTGCATGAATCCAATATAAAAAGAATAAAGAATTTGTCTCATTGTAATTTCAAATTATAAAGAAAATTATTACATTTACGTATTGCGAGCTACCGTAGAGCGCTGAATATAGTATCCCGATACTATGCATAGAGTACTATGGTTCATCGAAAATTTAACTATTTAAAGTACCCCTTGTGCATTGTTTTAAAAGAATTGAGCATGTACTTACTAAGGGCTTCTAAATTTATCCCACTTCTTACAAATTTCATGATATAAAATAAACTTGTTTAAGATGTATGCTACACTTCTAATACTGTGCTTAGTACCCGGGTATCTTACAAAAATCGATGTTCAAATCGTTGTAGGGATACTATCGTTATAGTCAGCGTTCTACGGTATAGTTTCTATCTCTAATAGGTTTGTTAGCGTTAGTCAAAAATTATAACGATAATTTCGGTTTGATATGTACATATTAAAAACCGAGAAATTGATTGCCATTAGCACTAATTCAAGCGGACACTGTATGATAATGCCTTATTCTCATAAATGCTAAAACTGCGGCTCTTTAGGATTATTTTGAAAAGCGCTTGAAGCTAAATTTTTGCAATTACAGTATATAAATAACATTCATCTATTGTAATGAGATATATATATATATTTTTCTTCTCAAAATTGATCTTTAAATAATAAAACAAAAAATAGATTTCATAGTCATATGATAAATTGTTGTAATGATTCTTACATAGAAAATCTCGATATGGTGCATAACATCTAAAGTCATCAAACGTTTGTATTTTACAAAATGTATAAACTTCTAGTAAATGCAAAATTTAATCCGTGAATATGATAGAATAGGCTCTTTCTGAGAATATTCACGGATTAAATTTTGTATTTACTTCTTAGTAAAGATGTTTATACATTTTATAAAACACAAACGTTTGATGACTTTAGATGTTATGCACCATATGTTTAATAATTAATCATTAAAAAAAAACATTCAAAATAATAATAAAAAATTATCTTATTATTTCCAGTATTCCTGTAATGTTGTTATAGTGCTATAATTATTTAAATTAAAATATATTAATTAATTATTATTATTATTTTAATTTTATTATTATTATTAATTTTATAAAAAAAATTTTATAAATAAAATCTAAAATCATCATCCATCCATTATCAAATAACACATTTTCTCTTGTATTCCTTGACATGCCTAATATTTTAAAATAAAAATTAAAAAATATATGTAATTAGTTATGCTTTTTATTATTTTTTTTAATTTTTTTAATATATATTTATTAGCATACACATAATATCACACACATTTCCCCAGTACATATATATTCTCTGGGTATAGAGAATATATATTATCATATATGTGCTATATATATATATTATTATTATGTGAATGCTAAAAAATATAAATATCAATGCTATTATAAATATATATTGATGCCAAATATATATTAGATGTTAATGCTGGATAATGTAGATCAAATATTGATATCAGGTGCTGAATATATAATGTGGATCAGATGTTGATATCAGATGATGGAGAATATAAATCGGATGTTGATGACAAGTGATGAAGAATGTGAATAAGATATTTATGCTGGATGCCAGATGTCAAAGAATTGGTCAAAAAAGAAAAAGAAAAGAAAAAAAGAGGAGAATTTAAAAATAAAAAAAGGGAAAGAAGAAGAGAAAAGAGAGAAATTTTATTTGAATAAAGAAGAAAAAAGAAAAAAAATATAAGTCAAAAAATGCAGAATATATTGATATATAATAATTTATCATTATTATACTAATTTAATTATGCTTTTTGATGTGTATAATATATATGTATAATATTATTTGTTCTATTTTATATAATTATAATGGGTACTCAATACAATAAAATGATCAGGGGAAGAGATTTAATATTATATCATCTTAAAGCATATTACATAAATTTCATAATTGAAAGAGCAAAAGTAACTCATAGATTTATAAATATGAATTTTATTTTTTTAAAACTAAACAAATATCTTTTCTGTCAAGATTGCAATCCAAATTTGATTTGTTCTTTCATATTTAAAATATCAAAAGACTTGCAAAATGATGTACAAGTGAAATATTTTCCAGATAAAGCATTATTCAGTTAGGAATAAAAGTACATATAAAAATATTTCTTATATATTATCAAGATTTTTTTAGTTTTATAAACTCGTATCTTTTTAATCATAATAATTTTATATATATTACTTTGAAAATAGAGTGAAATAAAATATTTCAGCAGTTTTTACTGATAAACAGCCAACATTAACAGTAGGATTATTTGAGTTAACAACAAATATAAGTATTAAGAAACAGTCTGGTTTTATTAAGTGAGGATGTGATCCAAAATTATACATGTGAATTATATATATATATGTGTGTTGATTATTTATTGTTGCTTTTTATTTAGTATATAAATATTAATTTAGTTTTTTTTTTGTATTTAGCTGTAAGCATTTTATACATGGTACATATGATCATGCACTTAGAGGTAAATAGTAAATGACTTTTTTTGAGTTATTACATACTTAATAATATTAATTTTGTATTTACATTCAATTATTGATTTAGTTATAGGATGCTAATTATTTAGCAGAAAATTGGATCAAACATGTCTTTTCATGCATATCTATGAAAAGTGCAAATAGATTGGTACCAACGCCAAATTTATTCCACCTCTAAAGAAACCAGATTTCTGTGTCATGCATCTTGACCAGAAGATATTTGTATAAAATGTCAACTGAGTGCAGTAACATTACAACAAGTAAAAGAACAATTAACATTGACTGTATTTCTCTTATCATTATTAATTTGATTAATTGGTTTTATCAGTATGATTATTGAATTTTTGTCATTAAATCCTTCATTAATTGCTGGATATCAACAGCTTGGATATTTATAATGGTGATTTATGAGCTACCACAGGAACACCAAATAAATAATTTAAGTCTCAATTTCTCATAGAATAAGAAAGAGCCAGTGAATTATTCAAAGTAAGATTTTTGAAATTACGAACAGATTAATACATATATAAAACTATATATGTACTGATATGTACCAAATTTCAAATCAAAATTTTCAAGATTTCCTTAATTTCAGCCATGAGAAATTTGGTATGGGGTTAGAGTTAGAGTTGTGATCAAGATTATATATAAAATTACCTCCTGACATTTTTATTAGTATACCAAAATAGATTTAAATATTTATTTTTCGTTATTTTTCATGTTTTTTTCACATTTTGAATTTGTTTGCCAAGTTGATCAAAAATTTACGCATCCTTATTGATGGACCAGGCTTTAGACATAATCCTAGTTTGAATAATATCGCAATATTCTTTATACCCATTATCAACATACTGTTTAGTACTGTATATAGTATCTCCTAATAATAATATCCTTCATAATTATATAAACACTATAAGCTCTCTAAATATATATTACTCCAAATATAATATGATGCAGGAACTATTTTAAAATGATATTACTCAAACAGGCAAAATTTTCAAAATTTGATCAGTAACTTTGTAGAGTTTATTATAAAGAACAAAGTTATCATACAGTATATGCATTACTTAATGTTAACTATCATAGCAATACGTAATATACGTACATGTATTACTAAAAATATAACCAGTTTTATAAAGAGATTTATTGATAGTGATAATATTTATAAATTAACGTTATTACGAATTTATTTTTTATCAGTATGACTTGCATAATTAGCAAACTACATAATCAACTCCTTAAACTAAAATAGTTGTAACTATGTATTAGCAAAAAACTTTGATTTTTAATTAGCACTTAGATTTAACTGTGTAAATAATAGTAACTCAAGAGATTATAATGACTTAAAGATCTCCTTTATGAGAATTTATTTAATTATATAGATAATTAAGATCTTGTATAAAATATTTGGATACTAAACTTCTAATCAATTTTAGTAAAATAACTGAAATTGGATAGCTATCAGCTGATAAAGCTATAAAAAAATTGATTTCAAATATTTACTTGTTGAAGGGAAGTGTATTGTTACAATTATGTTATAAAAAAAAATTTGTTAATTCCATAATTCGTAATATTTCGTGAAGTTATGAAAATCATGTAAAGAACTTAGAACATTTCACAATTTCTTTATATATATTATTAATTATAATATTCATATATTTTTATTTTTCTATTTTGTACTCCTATATTTTTATACTTTTTATACTTTTTCTACTTCATATTCTTATACTTTTTATATTTTTATACTTTTTCTATTTTATACTTTTATACTTTCTATACTTTTATACTTTTATACTTTTTATACTTTTATATATTTATACTTTTTATACTTTTATATTTATTTATTCTGAGTAGATATAATTTAGCCAATTAAAATTCTTTGAGATTTATACTTTTT